GGATTAGCCTAGTAAGCCGCGGCACTGGCCAGCCCACATTCTTGACCATGATACTGATGCTGGAGAAGCAGCTCTCCTTGTGTGACCCTCCTGAATCAGAGAAGCTCTAACTTAAATACAGGAAGGCCATGATGGGATTTCAAAGCACGTAGCAGCCCTAGAAGTCATTTTAGAGATGCAACGTGAGTCCCAGCATCCATGATCCTAAGAGACACAGACCAGGTAGCCAGACGCTATTGTTCTGCCTGGTGCCCTGTCCACTCCAGCATGGCAGTAAATTGACTAAAAGATCTGTGTTCAGGTAAACATTCTATGGCCTTGCTAAGGCCTGCTCTTTGGTGAGAATAGGCATAAATTTGGGTTTTACCAGATTTATATGGGGGGCATTTGATTGGAAATAGGAGAAAGATGTGATCCATAAATAATGCTTCAGCAGGAACCCCTAATGCAGTGTCCCTACACTTTGAAAATAGATTCAAACCTGCCACCTCAAACATTAGAATAAACTCTAAGGGGCACAGAGGGCAGTGGGAGGCAGCAAGGGAATGATGCCATCGGATAGTTCCCCCCACCAAAAAGCGTTATGTCCTGATTGGCTCAGGATGGTTCCTCTAAAGCTTTATCCTTTAAATTTGGGAGAAAAAAGAGCAACTCCCTAGCCCTTAATTGGGTCCAGTTGTCTTCTAGTTTACCTTGTCATTTAGGTAAAGACACAAGCTGGTGCCGCGGCTCACTAGGCTAATCCTCTGCCTGCGGCGCTGGCACCCCAGTTCTAGTCCTGGTCGGGGTGCCAGATTCTGTCCCGGTTGCCCCTCTTGCAGTCCAGCTCTCTGCTGTGGCCCGGGAAGGCAGTGGAGGATGGCCCAAGTGCTTGGGCCCTGCACCCACATGGGAGACCAGGAGAAGCACCCGCCGGCCGCAGTGGCCATTGGGGGGTGAACCAACGGAAAAGGAAGACCTTTCTCTCTCTCTCTCTCTCACTGTCCACTCTGCCTGCAAAAAAAAAAAAAAAAGACACAAAAAAGAATACATGGCCCTGAAGGGCAGTAGAGGGGGAGGGCGAGAAGCAGAGGGAAGAGGCTCCAAGAGGGGACCAGGGGTGTTCCTAAAGGGAAAACGAGGACCTTGTGACAAACGTGACCTTCAACTATTTGCCCAAGGCCAGGCCCGCTTATCTCCCTGTTGAATAACTGAAGAAAATACAATGCTAAGTTTAAACAAGAACAAAAAGCTTAAGTCAGCATCAGGCAAGTGGTTTGAAAAGTCTTATGGTGCTGGCCAAAGATAAATAAATACTGGCCGGCCCAGACAAAAGCTGCTAAATCTCTATGTTGCCTGAGTTTATGCAGGAGAGAGTTTCAGTTGATCTCAGCATCGCACAGACAGCAATGCTAAAACATTGGCACTCAAGTTCTCAGTGCTTAGAAGCACCATAGCTTAGTTGCTCCAACGCGAAATTATGAAAACCAGACCCCTCGAGAAGACCATTTTCCCACAAAACAAGCAAGATTCCCAGCGCTGTTCATGTTAGAGCTAAGATTCGCATTGGGCCTGAGAGTCAGCCTCAGTGCCTCCCGCACAGAGCTTTCCTAAGCCCTTTCCCACTCTCCTCTGCCCTGGGGAACTCTCCCTGGGCCTCTTCTGAGGAGAAAGGCAAAAGGAGATGCTGCCACTCGCCAGCAGCCTTTGCTGAATGCGTTGGCCACATAACACTGCTTAGGCAACGGGGGTTGCTATGGGTGAAAGCACCAAGCTGCAATGGGTTCAAATCCCTGCTTTGCTTCTGTGCAATTGGCACGTTACTTAATCCTGCGAAACCTCACTTCCCCCTCTGTAAAGAGAGTCAGCCAGTAACCACATCAAGAGGCCATGGGAATCAAGAGAAAATGGCGGTAGAATGCCCAGCACCCTGGGAGCTGGTCTGCAAACCTGCAGACCTCAAGTCAGCAAGCACCGGCTCTGTGGGCTCGGTGCAGACTCTCCATCCTGGGGCTAGTTGCCTTAAAATCAGCACAAGCCAGCCCCCTATTGGCTGTATACTTGGGCTACCGCATTTCTTACAAATAAATACTTGCGTGTCACTCGGAGTATGGTCTTTGGACTGGCAGCATGGGCATCGCCAGGGAGCCTGTTAGGAATGCCGACACTCAGTTGCCACCCCAGACCTCATACCTCAGAATCTGCATTTTAGCAAGATCCTCAGGCAATCTGTGTGCCCACGAGAGCTTGAGAAGCGCTGATCAACCATATATAGCTGTCCTACCTACCTTTTAAGTCCATTGCAACCGTTCCAGTCCACAAGAAATTTCAAACTCATATGGACATGGGTACCACTGTATGGTTCGCCTCCCTCCCATCTTCCCACTTACATCTTAAAATACTCCCAACCGCCTGATTTAGGAACTTAAGAGCAAACATTTGTAGCTAAAATAATGTTATAAGAATACAATTAAAGAGAGAAGGTGTACCTAATATTTCTTTGTCTTACCGAAAGCAGTTATGAAGCCAATACAAAAAGCCGTGGAAGGGCAAAGCCTATAGAAAAGTGCGGGGAGAATCAGCAGAGGAAGGAGCTCAAAGCCAGCTGGGGCTGCTGGTGGTCTGTGCACAGCCTGACAGCGTCCCTGATGGAGAGTTTGAGCAAGGGGCAAATTCAAAATAAAACTATAGCAGTTTAAACCTCTGGTCCCCAAGTTACATGGCCCCATCCAAAGCCCCAGGGAGCCCTCCACGATTGCATATTCACAATCTTGTACTATTTTTAGGCTAAATTAGGCTCCCCAGATTTTGTAAACTTGAGGCCCCACTGCACCTGGATTCGAACTTTTTCCCCATAGGGAATGACACAGCACAGCTACCGGCCGCTTAAACGCACCATTTTGACTTGCTCCTTCGCCTGGCTCCGCTGCGGGGAGGTTAATCTGCTTCTGCAGGAGCTCAGCCCCAGTTGTCCTCTTTCCAGCGGCAGCAAATTGTCTCACATTTTCCCGGCTGCCGGCTCACAAATGGCTGCATTACTCAGTGCCCCCAAAACGCTTATTGTCCTGCCGGGCCTTACACAATCCTACAGGAAACCACGCTCAACACTTAGCCAACACTTGTTGATCTGATTGAACGCCACAGAAGCAGAGACAAAAGCATATTTCAGAAAGGTTCCAACTCTGATAACTGCAGCTCCTGCTTTTCCCAGGCAGCTCTCAGGCGCATGTGATAACCCTGCCTTTGTTTGGAGCGTTCTGTGCTGGAAAGGACAAGAAAATATCTCAGCGAAACCCCGACTTTTGACGCTAACTTCTCTCACAGCAGTCAGGAAACCATTAGGTAACGCCAAGGTGCATGAACACTTCGGCTCAAGGCTCAGGCAGAGGGGGACCGGAGAACACACGAGCCAGCAGAACAGTCCATGGGGCGGAGAAGGAGCTCATTTCACCTCGAAGCTTGGCAGGCTAGAGACGGCTACTCATTTAAAATATGAAGAAATCCAAGAAAGGAAAAGATACTGTCTTTGCTAATTGGTAGCGCACCAGCTGGTTGCCATTGGCCATGATTACAACCACATCACAACTGCTGCCTTTTCTCTTTCTACCATTTTCTCTGGGGCACACCGGCTGCTCACGGACTGATAAAATAACTCTAATGATATATTTTAGGCTCTGCTGTGGATGGCCAAGGAAATCAATCACGCTTTGGGCAGGAATTAAACACTGTGTTGGTTTGCCAATTGTTTGGACACATTAAATTAGTTGTAAGCATCTGTGCTGTGCTAGAGTTTAGGATTGTCAGAGGAGTGCAACAAGCCTGACTTTCAAAGTCCCCTTCTTTGACACGGACATGGGGTCTGCGTCATTCCTACTTGTTCACTCAGTCAAGTCTTACTGAGAACCTACCACATGCTAAGCACTCAGGTAGGGGCCAGAGACACAACAGCAAACAGAAAGAGACAGCCCACCTTTCCAGGGGGCTTACGTCTAGTGGAGGAGGAACCACAAGTGGCAGTTCAGTTAGGAGTCTGAAAAATAGCTTGCAGAGATATTTCTAATACTTGAGTCTGGAAACTAGAATTTGGGGAAGGGCAAAAAGCCCTTCAGAAGAATTGGAAAGAGTGTACATCACCACGTCACAGATGGACGCCCAAGAGCTCGCTGTCCTCTAAGGATGAAGTAGGCAGTCATTTGAGTGAAGCAGAGCAACAACTTGGCCAAATGGATGAACTCCCACTCTGCTCACTCACTTCCTTTCCCACTTGGTGGTTCGTAGTTACTTATATCTGGTAACACGGCAAAAGAGCCATTGTCGAGTAAGAGGTAAATTTAGGGAAGGAGGTGGCACAACTGTGGAAACACCTGGGCCCAGTCTTGTGGACTTTCCACCCCTTCTTGGGGTTTAAAACATTCAAGGGCAGCTGGGAGGAGTGGTTTCCTCTAAGTCAAAATGTCACAGATCTATTTTCTTCTTTTACTCACTCACTTCCTCTGCGGTATCTCCTGAACCTTTCTTTGGCTCTGTGTCTTCTATGTCTTTAAATTTTGACTTTTGGCAACCTGCTAAGGCGATCACATGATTTAATTTACTGGAATTATAGTCTACATTGTCACCGTCACTCAGTGAGACTCTTACGGATTTTCTCTGATGCTTGTTCATGCCAGCCCTTAACAGGCAACAGCTAAAGGGACACAGCATGGGATAACCTGACTTCATGACATCAACAAGCTTATTCACTTATGCTTGCATTTTTAGAATAAGAACGAACCTGGTGAGAGGGGAGAGAGAGAGAGGGAGGGAGGGAGATCTGACTTGTGGCTGATCTCTAAAAGTTCATTTGACTGATGGCTTAAAAATCTACATGCTTCTGATACCAAATTTCAGCCAGAATCTCTCCCCTGAATTCCAGATTCATATTTGAATGTCAGCTTGTCCATCTATATTCATAATATCAATAGATAGGTCAAACTTAACATGTCCAAAGCTGACCTCCTGATGAACCCTTGAAACCAGCTCCTGCTACAGTCTTTCTCTTCACAGCTAATAGCAACTCTATGCTTCCAGTTGCTCAGGCCAAAGACTTCACCCTTCCCTCACCCCCAACATCCAATCCTTCAAGAAATAAGATTAACTCTACAAAATGAACCCCAAATTTGGCCACTTTTTCAGTGCCTGCACTGCTAGCCACCGGTTAAATCGCCCTCACCTGGAATACGGCCTTAGCCTCCTGTTTTCCCCTTCCCACCTCTTCTGTCTGCACTGAGTAGCCAGAGGGAGTCTCTTAAATGTAAGTCAAATCTTGTGTTTCTGGTTTGAATGCTCCAATCCCACCCCCCTTTCTGGTCCCTTAGTTCTGTCTCTAACATCATCTCATCATTTTTCTACCTTGTCACTCCAAAAAGCCCCCCCCCCCCCGCGCCTGCCATATTCTGAGCAGCTCTGCCCCAGGGCGTTTGCATCAGCCATAGCCACTGCTCAGTGAACTGTTCCAGATATCTGCTTGGTTCATTTCCTCGTCTCCAGTCTCTGCTTCAAGTGGCATCTCCCTAATGAGCTCTACCCAGACCATCCCGTGTAGTATGACCTCACATCCACTCAGCACTCCTAAGCTCCTTTATCGTATTCTACTTTTCCTTCTCCCCATGGCGCTTATCACCTTGTAACATAACGTGTAATTTCCTTCTTAACGACTTTCATTGCCTGCCTGCCTGCCTGCCTGCCTGCCTGCCTGAAGAGTAAGCTCACAAGGGCTCCAGCAGCTTCTCTTTGCATCTGGAGCTTTTCCCATGTGTGCCTTCATTAGGGCATCACTCACCACTTCCCGCATCGATGGCTTCTGCTGCTGAAATAATCGACCTAGGGGTTGGGATCTGATGTGACCATTCCACACGTACTGGAATTTAAGTCCAATGTGTTGCCTGTCTAGCATGCTTGCATTCCAGAGCTTGGGTTCAGCGGTGCAGCAAACACCCTTGTTCCTTATGACAGGAGATGGGTGAGTGGGAGATGGAGGTGGACATGAAAAGGTTTGTTGTTTGGTTTTGTTATGACCTTTTCTGACACCTATAACATCTTCAGAGGCTGTTAACATTTTAGCAGTTTTACCCCCTTTCCTTTAAGGGGAAGATAAGAATTTGAGGTGTGGATGGAATTAGTAAACTTGGAGCACCACTTGTTTTTGTAAATAAATTTTATTAGAACACAGCCACCATTTATTTATGTATGAGAGTACTTCAAAAAGTTCATGGAATTAAAAGATAAGTTTAATATGGTGCAAAAATTTTTTGAAATCCATGCATATGAGGGGTATTTTAAAAGTTCATGGCAATTGCTTATTATGAAAAAATTATGTTTGGAATGCAAATTTTTTGCACCAAAATAAACTTACTTTGCTTTTTTTTTTTTTAAAAAAGATCTATTTATTTGTTTGAAACACAGAGTTACAGAGAGAGAGAGAGAGAGAGAGAGAGAGATCTTCCATTTGCTGGTTCACCCCCAAACGGCAGCAACTACTGAAGCCAGGAGCTTCCTCTGGGTCTCCCATGCAGGTGCTGGGGCCCAAGGACTTGGGCCATCTTCTACTGCTTTCCCAGGTCATAGCAGAGAGCTGGATTGGAAGTGGGGCCAGCACCTTAGGAGGCAGTTTAACCCTTTACTCCACAATGCCGCTCCCTAACTTTTTAATTCCACTTTCCTCAGACTTAAAAATCTCCTTGTACTATGTATGGCTGCTTTTGTTGTCCAGTGTCAGAGTTGAGAAGTTGTGTCAGAGATTGCACACAAGTATTGACTACCTGGCTGTGACGGGAAAAAATTGCTAACTCATGCTCTAGAAGAATCTTGCCAACTATGGCATGACCTGGTAGCTTTGACTTTACTTCAAAGGCTCAACTGAACAGTCACTGAATTGCACTGCGTACAAGCTGCAAGACTTGGAAGCAAAGGAAGTAGACAAAGAAGGATTTCTGTATGTAATCATTCCAGCCCTGATTTCCACTTAGATTTAAGTTATTTTTTCCAAAATTTTCTTATGAAAATTTTCAAAATACCAGTTTGAAGAAGTTAAGCACCAATACACCATCATCTAGATTCTACCATTACCATTTTACTCTATCTGCTTCCTCATAGTTTTGTCCCTTTATCTGTTACTTTTTTATCCATCAATCTACCTTGTTATTGTTTCTTTTCATGCAAAGTTGTAGACATCAGTATACTTCATCCGTAAACACCTCAGTGTATATCTATAGTATTAACTAGAGATGAATAAAAAGTGGTTTTTCATTTGAACTCTAATAATGTGATCCAGAAAGTAGCCTTCCTTTGGTCAGAAGACTTTACAAAAGCTGAAAACTGAGAAAGGTTATCAGGGTAATTGAGTTAAGTATCAGGGGAATCATTCACCTAAATTTCTCCACTTCCCTGGTTCACAGATGAATTGGGCTTTCAGGGCTAAGAGTGTTTTGCCTGTGATGGACTCCAGGAAAGTTCTGGAGCTCACTAGGTAGGGTCATAAGCAGTTCTATTCTGGGACACTGCCGAAAACCCCCAGGGAAATAGTAGAGGAATAGTTCTGAGTTTCCTGCAACGGTTGATCAACTGTAGCTCTTGGGTCACAGCCCTAGTGGATGGAACATCTTGGGCCTCTGCAGAATGTTCTCACCAGGGTGGAAACGGGACTCACATGTACTCATCTTTTGGGACTATACTTGGCAGTCTCCCACCACCCAGTGCATTAATGGCCTTCCTAAACTAATGTTCACAAAATAATCAGTCCTTATCTTGAAGCCAGTTGATTTTCTACATCCAGGGCGTCTGAATCCTTAATATGGAATAGTCCAGAGATAGACGTCATTTAATGAATAGCAGCTATACGGCCTTGGGGAGGCAAATTATCAAAATCTGTAAGGAAAAATTTTGAAATCGATAGCTTGAAGAAAAATGGAATCATTTAAGGAAGGCTTTGCTCACTGTCTTCTCAGCATGGCATTTTCTTTACTTTTCCCTGGAGTACTCCGGCCATTGGTGATCTATCCAGCTGCCTGCCTGCTCCTCATCTCCATCTGGTTGGTAAAGGACCGTATGAAAAGTGCTCAAAGCTAAATGCAAGAGTCACACTTCTCATCTTGAATGTGGACTCCGATATGATGAGACATTTTATGTACCCTATACCATGTGTAACAATTCTCCCCTCTCCCACCTCTTCCCCATTTTAAGCCTTCTGGCTTTCCAGATCTGCTCCTTTTCTTTCCTGCAAGGGCCTGCAAAGGAATCTCTGCTTTTCCATGACTGGGCATACCCTTGGCTTTAGCTTCTACTCATATCCAGGCTCTTAAAGATAAGAAGGAGGAGGAATTCTCCTGGTACAGTGTGGAGGTGGCTGGGATTCTGGTCTCAGAGGAAAAGGTGTGAAACAGAAGCATCTCTAAGGATATCACAAACCTAGTAACAAACCTAGTACAGAGATAGCTAAACAGGTACAACTGAGTCTTCTTGTCGGTTGTTATGAAATTGTTCTTACAGATGCTGCTCGGAACAGAAGAGGTTACACGTGCACTCCGAGGTTGCTGCTATGGCTGGTGGGACACTACGTTTAATCGCTAAGGCCTAACTTAATAATTGTTTGTGTTGCTTGATGGCTTGTTGCCTTGATAATAATTTCAGTGGATATATCCACTTTCTGAAAGGCTAAGTATTTGTCGTTAGCCTGGAGAGCTTTGAAAAATCTACCTCTTCTCTTGCATAAGGCATATGTGGCAGCTATCTGTTTTCACAAAACAAAACACTCAGACACTGAGTGGCTTAAAACAACTATTTTTGTTTGGCTATGCTTGTGTGAGTCAGGGAGTTGGGAAAGATGAGGTTGGGTCTTAGGCACATGGTGCCAGCTGGGGCAGCTAGGGCTGGAAGATCCATTTCCAAGATGGCTCTTTTGTGTCCTGTGCCACAGTGTCCTTAGCCTTTGTCTCTTCTTTCACACGGTGTGTCCTTCTCCATGTCCTCTCCTTCACATGACACGAGCTTCTGCCAGAGTGCTGATCTCAGGGTCATTGCTTACAGGGCACTGGCTTCGCCGAAGCAGGAAGCAGAAGCTGCCAGGCCATGTCAGAATCACACCCAGAACTGCTACAATGCCGCTTCCGCCATATCGCATTGATGAAAGCAGCCACAGGCTCTGCCTAGAATCAAGAGGAAACACCATTTTTCATGGAGGAGTGTCAAGGTCACAGACTGTGGAAGAACAGTATGTGAGATGGATGCCACTGTTCAGGCCATCTTAGGAATATGGAATCTTCCAAAGGACGATAAACAACGGATATGGGGAGTGATGTATAGGTGTGGTGATTGCCAAGTCAAACATCTCACCCAGACTTGAGAGGACAGGCATTGAAGGCTTACCAGAACAAGTGATATGGAAACAGAGCTAGTTGCAAGATGAATGAGAAAGAAAGTATCAGAAAGGCAAGACAAGCCAACAAGATGGAACACATACGTTCTAAGGCTAAAAGTTCAGCACAGTAGGGAGGGATGGGCTGTGCCTGTCTGTGGGGGTGTGGGGCAGGAGTGGGGTGTGCTTGTCCTTGAGCAAGCACCGTAAGGGTGAGGCAAGATGAAGGACATCACAGAATTTTCTCCTGAGGGTAATGAGAAGCCACTGAGGGTTTTAGGCAACTGTCATTCCCTTGGCCTGGGACTTGGAGAATGGATGGGCCAGGGCAAACCCCAAGGCAGGAAGAGTGGGGTGGCTATCAGAGAAGACTGTGTGTGGCAGTCAAAAGGAGAAGGACTGAATGTATTGAAGACTAGATGGGGAGTCAAGATCATGGGCTTTCTCAATGCAATGGCAAGAGAGGGCAGTTTGCAGGCAGTGAATTCTTCGCTGGGGAATGTGGAAGCATTTACTGAGCACTGCGAAGGGCCGCACAGGGAGCCCAGGCTTCTGTTTTACTTGGAGACAGTTGGGGGAGTAATTATAATGGCGATAAGCACCAAAGTTAATTATCCTATGGCACTTTCAATATTCATGTGTCTTATCTCATTTAGCCTGGAATCACCCCAATACGAAGGAAAGGGTGCGCTGGTTCACAGACTCCACAACAGGCAAATGGCAGGCAAGCCACTTAGGGTAATAAACAATTGTGTGAAGCTCAAGACGTGACACACCCATTGACTTCTTACAACCTCATGAGGTTGGTACTATGAGCGTCCCCACCCTCATCTTATCCAGGAGGAACTGGGGGCAGGCAAGGCCGAGCCACCTGCCCAAACTCACAGCAAGTGGTGTCTCCAGGAGGTGGCAGCCGCACTGGAATCTGTGCTGAGGCCGCGGCCACGTCAGAGCCCCTGCCCGGCCCACGCAACCCTCCGGGGCCCAGCGCGCCCCCCAACGGCCAGGGTGTGCATCTCATCTCGTGGCGCAGCGCGGGACGGGCGCAGAGCCAAAGGGCAGCAGAGGCGGAGGCGGGGCGAGAGGATCCGCGCGCTGCCGGTGAGTCAGCCAGGGCCGTCCCCGCCCAGGCCGCCTGGGAATCAGACTGCGGCCGCAAAGCGCTGAGTCACGGCCGAGCGCCCCACCCGCGCGCCGGCCAGCTCCTGGCGACCCGCGCCGCGCAGAGGCTCCGGTGCCGCCGCCGCGCCCCTCCTGGGCCGCCGCTGTCGCCGCGTGAGTGCCTGCGGCCCCGCGCGGGTGGGCTGGGTGGGGGTGGCTGGCGACCAGCCCGCGAGATCCTGCCTTGCCCAGCCCGCTCTGGACAGCTGGGGGAGGTGTCAGAAGATGCCCCGGTAGTACCCTGAGGTTTGGTGACAAGGGTAGCCGGCGTCTGTTTCTGCAAAGCTGTGAGACCTGTTCGGCTCCTCTTCTTCGGGAGACTGGAAAGACTCGCAAGCAGTCTCACTGTTTGCTTGTATGTGGCTGCGGACGCGCTTGCACTATTTGCAGTATCCAGCTCATTTCCATCACCCAAAACGTAGGGATTACCTGCCGGGGAGGATACAGTTTAGGACAGGCCTTGACTAACAGCAAAGTTTAGCTTGGTGAAGCCCCTCTGGATAACAGCAGCAAACCTTCTCGGAGAATGAATGCACCCTTCTTAGCTAGGCATGCATTATTCCCATCTTACAGACAGGAAAACTGAGGCAGACATCCTCAGCTCACAAAGCTAGTATGTGGTGGACATGCAAATCCAAGCTGTTTGGGTCCAGAGACTTTAAAAAAAACCCATTGCTTAAGGCTTTTATCTTTTAAAAAGTAAAAAAAAATTTAAAAATTGTCTATTATTTGAAAGGCGGGGTGGGGGAGGGAGAGAGAGATCCTCCATCCACTGGTTCACTTTCCGAATGTCCACAATGGCCCCCAGCTGGACCGAGCTCAAGCTGGGAGCCGGGAACCCAATCTGGGCTTCCCGCCTGGGTGCCAGGGGCCCGATTACTTGAGCCGTCACCTGCTGTCTCCTCAGGTGTGCATTAGCAGGAGGCTGGAGTGGGGAGCCCATCTGGGACCATAAGCCAGGCACTCTGATACGGCATGCGGGCATCTTAACTGCGAGGCCAGATGCCCGCCTCAAGGAGTCTGTCTGTTGTTAAAGCACCTCGCTCGCTTCAGTAGGAATCTTTGAAAGAACTGATTATGTTTCACTTGAAGAAGAGATGAAGGGGGTTGGGAGTACCATCCGCAAAGAGTTGAGGTAGTAAGAGGGTTGATTATATTTGTTCTCCGACAGGCCATTTGTTAGAGTTTACACTCTGCGAAGAGGAAACAGGGTACAGGTGTGTCCTGAAATGTGGGATGCATCGTCAAGGGCAGCTCATCTGCAAGCTGCCTGCATACCAGATTTTTATGAGAAAGCGCCAAGGATTCTTGGCTGGAAAATTGGCCCTGAACTGCAGGGCCAGAATGGTCTTTGAATTCAATGATTCGCGAAGCTCTCTCAATGCCAGCATCTTCAGCATGCTCTGGTATGAGTCACCAACTTTAGTTTTCCTCTGTGCTCCTTGTGTTGACACGCAGATCCCCCATCTGTCAGCCTCACTGGTGGCACTTACCTCACGGGGTGACACTGGGTAGGGGTATCGAGAATGTTCAATGAGGTAAAGCTGATAAAGTGCTTATTAGGGGTCCTTAGTAAGGACCCAACAGCACTGTTGTTGTACAAGGTGGCTGTAGGATCACTTGAGAAAACAATAATGAGTGGAGTACCGGGCACCTGTTAGTACTCAGATTCACTGTCATTGTTCACCACCACTACTGCAATTTTAAATCGCTGAAGCCAGGCCCTGAGCATAGTAAGCAATCAGTAAGTTCTAGCTGGGGCTGTTGGGGCACATCTCATTTTAAGATCCTTATTTCGTAGTCCTTGGGTGTCCCTCCTTTGTGACTTCTTTCTTGTTGCCCCTCCTTTTGCCCCCCATCCTCTACAGCTCAGCATCTGAACACTCTTCAGACTTTGGCATGGAGTCCTCCAAGAAGGTCACTTTCTCAGTGCTCAGCTGGGAGCAGCCGGAAGGGGTTGGAGCACGGGTCCGCAGAAGCATTGGCAGGCCCGAGGTATGCTGGTCGGGTGGCTCTTCCCTACTTTCTTTTCAGAAGGGCTTGGTGGGACACTGAAGGATTTGAGAAGAAAGGGCCATGAGGTAGTGAGCTTCCTTGTTGGGGCTCCTAGAGGACCAGGCCAAGCCCAAATGAGATTTTTTAAAGGATTTATTTATTCATTTGAAAGGCAGAGTTACAGAGGCAGAGGCAGAGTGAGAAAGAGAAAAGTCCTCCATCTGCTGGTTCACCCCCTAAATGGCCACAATGGCCAGAGCTGGGCCAATCGGAAGCCAGGAGCCTGGAGCTTCTTCCAGGTCTCCTACACGGGTGCAGGGGCCCAAGGACTTGGGCCATCCTCTACTGCTTTCCCAGGCCATAGCAGAGAGCTGGATTGGAAGTGGAGCAGCCGGGACTTGAACTGGCACCCATGTGAGATGCCGGCACTGTAAGCAGTGGCTTTACCTGCTACACCACAGCACTGGTGTATTTTTCCATTGTATGAGCATTCTCTTATTCTCCTATGCCTAGCCTTACTTTTGACCATTAATGTTCTTACATTTTTTCACACTGCCATCTTGCCAGAAAGACAGACCTCTAACCTTCCCATCTCCGGAGGATGCAAGCATATATCTAATGTTACTTTTCAAACTCTCTGCACCAAAGCTTATGTGTCTGAAGAAAGAGCTCATAAACTTTGGACCCCAGAGCTATTTTAGCATACAATTTACGATAGTGCTCAGTCTTAGGGGTCTCAAGTGATGTGTTTCCTAGGATTGCAAGTTTCCAAATAGAAGAGGAATCCACAGTGCTGTTGCTGAGCCTTTCTGTGATTAACAATAAAGAAGAGGTGGAGTGGGCCTGGCTCACTCACACTCCTTATTCCAGTTATACCTGGGCCAGGCAGCCAGGCTGGGATTTGAGTGGCTGAATAGCTGGTGTTGGTGGGCAGTTCCTCTGCTCCCCCTTCCACCAGGTACTTCTCAGTGCATTGTGATTGTCCCTGGGCCACTCTTATTTTTTAAATGAATAATTTTAAACAAAAACACAAAGAAAAGAAAAAGAATCTCCACATTCCAGTATCCACAGTGATCAGCTCATGGGCAGTCTTGTTGCATATCTTCATCTGTTTCTCCTCTCAAAGTATTTTGAAGAGATCCCAGCCATAATTTCATTTATAAATATTTCAGCTTGTGGTGCTATAAGATAAAACTTTTAATTAAAATAAATGCAATCTCATTATCCTGATTAAAAATTAGAAGAATACCTTATATCATCAAATACCTTTGACTGATCTTGGTCTCCACTGCTTTAGCCTCTGTAGATGGTCCTCTCCTTTATCAAGGCCTCTAGATACTACGTCAAGGTAGAGGGGCAGAGAGTCACAGCTCAAGTGCACCCCAGGCCATATCTAGATCTGTCTGGGATCTAGTGGTGGCAGATTCCTTCTGCCTTCTCATTGTTACTGCCGGGCCCCAGTGTGGAGGTTGAGTATACCTGTGCTGGTGGAGTCTATTTTGAAGGGCCTTTTCTGCTGCCATATCGTCTTCTAGGCTGGCCTGATTCGAGGCTGCTACCACAGGTTTGATTGCCCTTAAATCAGTTAGGATTAAGTTCCACTGTGTGTAACCAAAAGCATCCTCCAAAATCAATGGCTTATGGAAGTGTTTGGGTTTCTCTTTGCAAAGCCCCGGAACAGGCAGTCCAAGGTAGACCTGGAAATGTCACACTTGCTAGAGACCTGTGCTCATTCTCTCTTAGGTCATGATTCTTTGCATATCCTTAGCATTACTCCCAGATATTTGCTTGCTTTCTCTCTCTCTGGAATAGGATTGGACACTCCAGTCCATTTTATAGGTGTGTTACCCAGGAGTGCCATAGGAAGGCTGTAAGTACCCACTTTCTTGCCTTAGTCTTGTTACATGCCTTGAACTATGGGGCATGTTTAGGTGATTGTGCGTGATTCACTTGGCTTTTTTTTCCTCCTGCCCTTTGTTATGAGAACAGCATGACCTTGATAGTGGCCACTGTTTCAACTTGAGTCCCACAATGAGAATGTAACCCACATAACAGGACTTTGGGGAGCCCTTTTGCCTTGATAACCACACAAAAGAGTAACATTTCCTCAAAGCTGTCTTTCAGGCCCACACGGGGGAAACAGGTAGCTGAAGCTGGTTGTGACCACAGCCAAGGCAACTGAGCTGTGTAAATGTCTGAGTTAACATTTCCCAAAATTTAGTGCTAAGATCTCGGCTTCCAGGAGGAGCTTAAACCTTGTTACCATGACCTGCAATAGATGTGTAAGCATGTTCCTGAACTGTGCCTGCATGAATTTGTGCCCACCCCTGTACATGATGACAGGTACTGCCACTCTGACATACTCATTTTCCCTAAGATAAAAGATACCCACTTCCTTTCTGCAGGGACCCATGACTTTGGAAGTGATTCCTGGTGGTCTTATTTACTAAAAATAAAGAGTAACTTTATATAATAACTCCTTCTGGTGTGCTCCTTGATTATAGTTACCAGGGAGCAACTCACAGCTTTGTGGATATCAAGAGGCCAATGGAACCCAGCAAATCCTAGCAAAATCAGTCTGCCAAGGCTTTAATCTAATGCAAGAAAAATTATATCTTGTGAGCTATTGGACAAAAGGATCTTTAGAAATACACTGGTGTGTCTACAAAGAAAACCCCGAAGAAGCTACAGATGAATTATTAAAATTAAGAGCTTAGCAGTGTTCAAAATAGGCATTTTATTCACATTTCTCATCCCAGCAGCAAACTGTTAAAAACAACTTTAAAATGCTGGTTATAACACTATTAAAAATATATTGGAGTAGGGGTGCCAGTGCTGTGGCGTAGAGGGCCAAGCCTCTGCCTGCAGTGCCAGCATCCCAAATGGGCGCTGGTTTGAATCCTGGCTGCTCTACTTCCAATCCAGCTCCCTGCTAATGCACCTGGAAGAGCAGCAGAAGATGGTCCCTACAACCACGTGGGAAACCTGGATGAGTCTCCAGGCTCCTGGCTTCGGCCTAGCCCAGCCCTGGTTGTTGTGGACGTTAGGGAATGAACCAGTGGAAAGAAGATCTCTCTGTCTCTTCTCTCTCTGTATCTCTGCCTTTGAAATAAATAAATAAATCTTTTTTTAAAAAAAAGTATGTTAGGAAACCATTTTTAAATATATGCAAAGCGTTTATGGAGGAAATTATAAGTATTAAAAACATATTAAGAGCCCTAAATAACCATGTTTTTAAATAGGGAACTCAGTATTATATAAATGGCAATTCTTGCCAGATTGAGCCATAGATGCAAGGCAATTCCAATCAAAAGGTCCAACACTTTTGTTCCTACAGTCTGATGAATTTTCTAAAATGTATATGGAACAACAAATGGCCAAGAGTAACCAAGAAAATCATAGATATACTGATGACAGCAGATCTGTGTCTACCTCCCATTTGAGCTTGAGATGTGTCTTAAGTTGCTGTCTTGCATTGCACAGTATGGGGTACGTTGAATGAGTTCTGTTCATACAGATAACGTTTATATAGATATCTCAAACTCAAGGTGACCTCAAATGAAGTTGCCATGGCAATTTCAAGGCTGCTTCCTCTGTTACAACAGAGCAACTGAATGGCCCTACCATCTTCCCAGGCACCATCGCTAGAAATGTGGGAGTCATCAAATGCTCTTTCTTTTTGCTTCGTACGTATCTACCCAGTCACTCAACCATTCTCCATCACTACTGTTCTTGCCTTAGTTCTGGCCTTTGGCCTTGCGCAGACTTATTGAAATGGCCTTCTAAATACTGCTTTGTCTCCTTTCTTCCCTTCCCAAACCATCTTCCAGAGTCATCTTTCTAAATCTGATTGTCTGAACCCCTCATTAAAACCCATCAGCTTCAGGATAAAAAAATCCAAACTCCTTTAAGATTTGGCCTTTGACCATCTCTTATCGTAATTCCATGCTCATCGTGCGCCCTAGTAAAGTAGTTTCCTTGCTGTTCTTAAAGCATGCTAAGCTGTTTCTCCATTCTTCTACCTGGAGTAGCCTTCATTCTCCTCCTCTCCCTTTGATATTGATTAATTCCTACATATGTTTCAAGACCCAGGCCAAGGGGCCGGCATTGTGGCATAGCGGGTACGGTTGCCACTTGTGATGCTAACATCCCATTTGAGCGCTGGTTTGTGTCCTGGCTTCTCCGCTTCTGATCTGGATCCCTGCTGATGGTCTGGGAAAGTAGTGGAAGATGGTCCAAATACTTGGGTCCCTGCCACCCACATAGGACACCTGGAAGAAGCTCCTGGCTTTGGCTTAGCCTATCTGGGAAGTGAACCAGTAGATAGAAGGTTTCCTCTCTCTCGCTCGCTCGCTCTCTCGCTCTCACTCTCACTCTCCCCCGTATCTCCCTCTCTGTAACTCTTTCAAATAAATAAATGAATAAGTCTTCAAGAAAAAAGAGCCAGGTCAATTGACTCCCTAGTAGAATCTTCCCTGATACCACCCTACTCTCAGGTGTAAAGTTGTCTTCCTCCAGGGCATTTATCATGACATACTGTAATTAATGTAGCCTGTCCCCCATGAGATTATGAATCCGGTTAGAATACAGATGGTATCTTGTTTGTACTTTACTGTTTATATCTTAGATCACAAAATAGTTCTCCAAACGTCAACTCTCTGACATACTCAGTATATCTGTGTCTAAGGAGTTCTGTCTGAAAGTGATTTTCATTGCAAAAACTTTTCCCATTGGCTATATAGTTTTCTATGAGTTTTGCCAGATCTGTTCATGAATGTAGTGCCTGGTAGACTGGCTTTAAAGGCATGTCTAAGCTGCTGAATTTTATTTTTATTTCAGTTAAAAAATCTGGATCCATTTTTACTGCTTGATGAATTTAAAGGCGGTAGACCAGGTGGATTTCCTGATCACCCTCATCGTGGTTTTGAAACAGTAAGTATAGCTATTTGACTGCAAAAGTGTGTATTTTAAAAGTTGCCCCTCACTTTAATAGAAAATTCAATTTTAGAGGTAATGTGTAATAGGCTAAAATTAATTTATAAGTTGCTGGCTATAGGTTGTCTACTATAATATAGTATCTATTTTCCAAGAAGTTTATTTTAATTTAAGTATTTGCCATTTTTAGTATTTTTTGAATTTGTACCCCTGGAGGCATTCCTTTTTGAACAGTTAGTAAAGAGCAAGAATTGGCTCCTCAAAATTTTTAGAATTGAAATAATTGGAGATATAAAACTATTTAAGAGGTCATTAAAATAATGTTATGTAGAAAAGCTGTTTCTGTGTGAGACTATTCAGAAATATTTAACCTCATGTGATATAAAACTATACTTCCCCCAAATAATACAAGAAATCTGAGGATTTGTACTAAGTTCTGAGGAATTGTAGAATCCAGGAACTGAGATACAACATGGCCTTAAAATTAAGATTTTATGGCCACATACACATTCATTTACAAGTTTAATAGCAAAATTGAGAGATTATGCTGAACACTAATATTCAGTTTCAGTTAGGAACTGAAATAGAACTGAGTAATATAATATTGTGGCACTTTCGAAGATTACCAGTCTCTACAAATACGCATATTCTAGCAAAGCACAGGGACAGTTACTTCCTAGTTAGAAGGATTAGCCTAGTGAGCAGCGGCGCTGGCACCCCGGGTTCTAGTCCTGGCTGGGGCGCCGGATTCTGTCCCGGTTGCCCCTCTTTCAGGCCAGCTCTCTGCTATGGCCCGGGAGTGCAGTGGAGGATGGCCCAAGTGCTTGGGCCCTGTACTCCATGGGAGACCAGGAGGAAGCATCTGGCTCCTGGCTTCAGATCGGCGCATCGCGCCGGCTGTAGCAGCCATTTGGGGGGTGAACCAACGGAAAAAAGGAAGACCTTTCTCTCTGTCTCTCTCACTGTCTAACTCTGCCTGTCAAAAAAAAAAAAAAAAAATAGAAAGTTGAGCCAGCTGCTTGCGACCACCTGTATTGTTAGGAAGCAGACCATGGCTTGTTGAAGGCTTAGCGTGTTTGTCAAGCCAATTAGTGAATATTTAGATATTTTCTGAAGGCTGGTGATATGCAGAACCTGGTGCAGGGTAATCTCTTGTATGTCAGGGTGTATGCGTTGGGGAGTGTGGGTAGAACGCAGAGGGAGGGAAGCTAAGGAAGGCGGTGTGATCCCTGCTGACTTCCGTATGCAGTTTAGTTAAGGGGGTAAAGGAGCAACAGGCAAGGAGTTCACCACTGCAGTGCCAAAGTAGAATGAAGCAAGAGCCTTCTAGAAACAGAGTCAGGGTAGCTGGATGCACCTGCCTTCCCCATTCAGCCATTCACCTTCCACTTCTCCTCTGCTGGCAGGTCTGGGTGCCCCAGTGTTGAGTGCTGTTGCTTTCACTGACCCTACTTGTGCTGGCTTTGGACCCTCTTCCCTGAATGCCTCCCCTCTGTGCCCTTGCTCAAGTCGCACTTGGCCATGTGTCCAATAATTTCAGTTACCATCTTAGTAATCCTTCAAGGTGCCTTCAGATATCACTAGCCCCATGGAGTTTTTTGGTTGTTTTTTGAGACAGTCCCAAAAGGACACACTTTCTCCTTTGTCTGGTCTCAATAATAGTATACTTTTACCAGTGTCACCTGTAGAGTGGCCTTGATCATGTTCTATTTGTCTTGTGTTGGGATTCGGAACTGCCTCCAGCCCTGCTCACACACTTAAGTGGATTATAAACGGCTTCCACTGATAACATCCCACACCTCACTGTATCTTCATGTGGAGATCCTTGGTAACTGTTGGCTGGATTTAATTGGATAATTACAAGAGATGGTTCTCACTAAGTACGGTGAATATAGTAAATAAAACGAATGAAGAAACATGTTGCTTTCATTTCCCTTATAGTAATCTTTTATGGGGAGCTGCTTTATAAATCATAGGGCACTCACTTTAAACAGCTCCGTGGAGTTCAGCTGTCAAATACTGGTGTTTGGCCCTTGGCTTTGGGTTAAGAGTTCTCCTTAAAACGTTATCTGTCTTTACAGTAGATCCTCATTGCTTTTGGATTCTGTGTTCACAAATTCCGCTACTCACTAACATTTATTTGTAACCCCCAAACCAGTATTTGTGGTGCTTTCCTGGTAATTCATGGACATGTACAGAGTGGGAAAACACAAGAGTTGCCCAATGTGCACATTCCCCGCTGCAGCTGGCCAGAGCAATGCTGGGCACTGTTGTTTTTTTTTTTTTAAATATTTATTTATTTGAAAGTCAGAGTTACACAGAGGGAGAAGGAGAGGCAGAGAGAGAGAGAGAGAGAGAGAGATCTTCCATCTGCTGGTTCACTCCCCAATTGGATGCAATGGCTGGAATTGCACTAATCTGAAGCCAGGAGCCGGAGCTTCTTAGGGTCTCCCACGAGTGTGCAGGGGCCCAAGGACTTGGGCCATCTTCTACTGCTTTTCCAAGCCATAACAGAGAGCTCGATCGGAAGAGGAGCAGCTGGGACTAGAACCGGAGCCCATATCACATTCACTTTGAAATGTGAGAAATGTGGGTCTAGGTGACCTTCCAAACCAGAAATATTATGCTTCTAAAGGTAAATGAGAGGGGCTGGCGCTATGGCGCAGTGGGTTAATCCTCCGCCTGCTGCACCGGCATCCCATATGGACAACAGTTCGAGTCCTGGCTGCTCCACTTCCGATCCTGCTCCCTGCTATGGTCTGGGAAAGCAGTGGAAGATGGCCCAAGTCCTTGGGCCTCTGCACCTGCGTAGGAGAGCCGGAAGAAACTCCTGGCTCCTGGCTTCGGATCGGCGCAGCACCAGCTGTAGCAGTCAGTTGGGAAGTGAACCAACGGAAGGAAGACCTTTCTCTCTGTCTCTTCCTCTCGCTGTCTGTAACTCTACCTCTCAAATAAGTAAGTAAGATCTTTAAAAAAAAAATAAAAGAAACCTCAAAATGTTCTGGTTGGCTTAAAAAAAAAGATAAATGAGAATGAGAACCTGATTCTTCTGAGCCAATGGCTACTCGTTGTTTTCAACTTAACGCTTAGATTTGGATAGCTATATATTTTCTGTTACAAGCTTGCCTGAAAATTGAGGAAGAAGGCACACCCTGGGGAAAGGAGGCACAGCTGGCGTTCACAAAACAAAGGGGGAAAGACCTTCAATATTTCCTGCCAGGAGGATTGTTTTCCAAAGGCCTGAGGGGTAAAGGGCCTAGTGATCTTGTACTTCCCTGTTCTGGTCAGGCCTGATACCATGATTTGTTTCAGGCAGTTACAAATGATCAGAAACAATGAACCATCTGAAAAATGAGCAAGCCCTGCCAAGTTATAGTTGGGCTAAAAAAATAGAGCTACTTAGCGTCCACACACCACTGAGGAAGCCTTCACCTGTGCCTGTCAAAGCCGCGCTTCCATTATAGCCTTGAGACTGCAGGTTTTCGCACTGGAGCCGCTGTGTTCCAGGGAACCCTGGAATGCTTGGTCACTCCTGCTTGTTTAAACTTGAGAACGGCTAGGAGTTAACCATCATGCCTGCTTCACAGGGACATTTTAGGATGGCTTTGTCCATTATGTTCATTATTAGGCTGAGAAGTGTTTTTTAAGGGTTTTTCACTACAAGCCCCAGCAGGTTCTTCGATTTTGTTCAGGAGAACAAAACGGCCCTGTTTCCAAGGGTGTGCCCAGCAGAAAAGCTGCATTCATATTTATTGGTTGGTAGCCAGCAGCATTTGCAGGCAATGCCTGAACAATATCCTGGAGAGGAAGGGAAAGGTTGTGGTGATTCACACCTAAAACTTATGACCGGATTCAAACCTCCCATCTCCCCCACAGCCTGTTTTTTCTGGCTGGCTGTGCACCACTTTCAAAAGCAAACCATATAAAGAAAAAAATTAAGCAAACCATACCATCAAGACTGAAAAAAAGAGGCTTGATTAAATTCAGCTTCCATTTTGCAAAGAAAGAAAACACTCTAGAAAAACTAGGATGCGATGCTCACTGAACTTTCTCAACATCAGAAAGACTGTTGTTCGGGGAGCCTCGCCTGTCATATTTAACACTGAGATAGAACCCAGTGTCCTGTCAACATGAGAAAGAAGGCAAGACTGTCTACCAGCACCATGAAACATGGCTCTGGAAGCTTCAGTCCTATTAATAAATAAGAGGGATAACTGTTGGAAAGGAAGGTGGAACTTATTTATTGGTCGGTAGTATGATAATAAAAGAAAACCCAAAGTGGCTGAATCCAGCTTTGGTTGGTGATGTGACTGGAGGAGGTGGGGGCTCATGTTGTGGTTTAGTATCCTGCAATTGTGGGTACAGTGAAGCACATGGATTTTAGTGTGTATGTTGATTTGGGGTGAAGCTAACAGATCATGGGAAGGAAGCTAAAGCCACCTCTATCTCGAAGATACTCCTTGGCATCACCATACTAAGAATGTCAACCAAAACCTCTTAATAACTGGCCAGATACAAAACAACTAGGCAAAAATCAAGCACTCACCTGTATAAAATAACTAGATGTAAGTGGGAAAACATCCCATTTATAATGGCATTCAGAGCCCCTATAATTCCAGAGAAAAAAGTTATTCCCTTTTAACACAGTAATCCAACTTCTATGAATGTAATAATTTCCTGGAAAAAAACCAGCATAAGGACAAAGGCTTATTATCGAAATGTTTTTCCCAGTACAATTTTTAAAAATAAAAAAGAACAAAGTGTTCAAAATAATAGGGGAATGATTATATATCTGGAAATTATACAGAAGGAAATTATTATATATCTGGAAGGTAGAATATTATGCAGCATTGTTTATAAAGACAAATATTGGGAACAATTTAATATTAATATCCATTATTTCAAGGGCTGTTTAAATTGGAGATTTTCAACCCGAGCAATGCTTGCACTTTGAAACGATAATTCCTTGCTGTAGGGAGCTCTTCCATCTGAACGTT